GAACAGATCTCTCCCCTGGTGAACTCGAGTGAGCGGGTGGAGTGACCAAACACACTGCTTGGAACAGCCTGCAAGGTGCGGCAGTAACCCGGAATGGCAACGGGGGATCCTGGGAAAGGAAGAACGATCCTGTGAGGATGAAAGGGGTTCCTGGAACAAAGAAGAACAAGTTAGAAGGGCGCCGGAGTGTTTTCCGGCGTATCCCCTCCGACGATCTAGTCAGTCTTTGAGAAAGAGAGAGGAAGGAGAAAACACTGAGTGTGTATTGTAGTAAAGAGTTTGTTGTTGCATACCCGCGTTGCCTTTTGCAAGGAGTATTTATACCTTAAAAGCTCATGATTGCTGTCAGCGTGGTCAGTAGGTGATCATTAGGTACAGGTAGCGTGTGCATTGATTCTGATGAGGAATGTCTTCTCTAATTAACTGCTCGGGGTCCCGAGCAATCAATGCTGGGTCATCGGGATGCCGACGGTACAATGTGCTCCTCTCGGGGAGGATGCAATAAATGCTCTGTAATAGGAGCATTTATTGCCTTTCATTTCCGAGCCTTACCGCATTGAATGCGGTCTCATCAAGGGAATGGTGCAATTAATTGTTTGCTTTCCCAAGTCGCGTGTCAGCAACGGCATGCGGTTTGTCTGTCTTTGATGTGATATCATATGCCACGCGTCCATCCCCTATTGGCTGTGACCTCGGTATTCCAGTATGTTCTGACATTACTTGTGTAAGACGAGGTCATGATGAATAGCCTAGACTAGCCTAGGCTAATGACCTGTACGTCAATAGNGCCTAGGCTAGTGTCCTGCACGTCAATAGCTTATCATGGAGTAAAGGAAGCGTCCAGGACGGAGTAACTCTCGGCACCGAGGAAAGGCTCATCTCGGGGACCGAGGGAGGTATGCGACCGAGGTACATAGGTGACCGAGGACACGTGTTGGTTGTAAAAATATACTGAATGCATGATCCTATATGAGGTACCTCGGGGGCGAGGACATTCGTTCGCCGATGGTGCTTGATCCAAGCAACAGTGTTTTAGTAAACCCCGAGGACACGTGTCTTCATCATACGATTTTTCAGAAAAGTCTCATCAATAAGAAAGTGGGAGATGCATCCAACAATCCCAAATTGGGATAAGTTGCTATTCATGTCTAACACTCAATATGTCACTGTGATTCAAATTGTCCGACTTTCTTTTTCTTTTCTTTCAGTGAAAATTGATGTCAGTTCTTCTTCATGGAATCATGTTGATAGAAGGAAGAAAACTCCTTATGCAATAGTAGATTTGTCATAGGCCATATCACCGGCTTAACCGTAGTGGACCCCCAATGGGATGCAATAATGGGGAGCTTTTACCCCGTGCATGGGGTTATACAAAAATATAATTAAAAGATAGTTGTTTTTAAAGTATTTTCTAAACTCAAGCACTTTTAAAAATATCAATTGAAATAACGTTTTTTAGATCAAAATACGTTAATCGAAGTAACATTTTTAGGCAAGAATGTCAAACCAACTAACGTTTTTCTACTAGAAGATAAAAGGACATTTAACACCACTAAAAACGTCCATTAAAGTGACATTTTTAGTGGAGGGGGGCAAAAACCTCTGATACAAAAGTTTATGGGTGAATTATTCTATCTTGACCTCATGAACTTTCCTCTCTTCTTCCTTAACCTTGGGAACTATCAATTTAAGAGCACCATTCTTCATCTTAGCCTTGATCTGATCAATCTTGTACACATTCGGAGGTAGTTCCGCCCTGCCCGATTATATCCGCTTGTGCTCATCCTCCGATTCCTTCTCGCCTTCCCTTTTGACGATCTGAGTGTTCTAATCCACCGTAATCTTCACCTTGTTCTTGTCTACGCCAAACATGTCAATTCAAATGTACAGAGCATCCTTATCTTCCTTCACGTTCCATCCTCTCAGCGATCCAGAATCCATTCCACGAGGTGATGAGAGAAAAGGGGTCTCCATCAAACAATGTAGTTAATCACATATTAAACTTCAAAAAATCTAACAAAAACTTCAGAAAAAAAGAGAGGATGAAGGTCAATTGATCGGAGGAATGGAACAGAACATAAGTGATTGAAAATTATTTAGCAAATATGCTTTGAGAGAATTACATTCAGACCCTTGAAATTTGTCACTTAATCATTTAGATCCCTTGATATTTAAAATATATTTAAAATATTATATATAAATCCCTTAAAGTTTATATGCGAGTAACACTTATACCCCCTGCTATAAATATATCACTTAATAAATTACACTCAGACCTTCTGAAGTTTATAAACATATATTACTTAGACCCCTTAAGTTTAAAATGTTATATTTATATTGTCTATTAGAATTTAATTTGATCATTTAAATGACCAAATTAAAATACCAAACTATCTCAATTAAAGCTAAAAGATATTGTGTCAATTACAATTTGATCCCTTGTTTAATTTTTTATTTTTATTTTAATAAATAGTATAATTATATACTAACTATGATTTTTTTTAAACAATTAGATTTTTATTTTTGGTTTTATTTGAATAAATGGTATAATAGAACATGAATTTTGAATGTTAAATTCATGTTCTATTATGAATGATTTAGACCCCTTGTTTATTTTTTAGTTTTATTCCAGTAAATAGTATAATTGTATATTAATTACAATTTTTTAAGAAAAAATTAAAATTAAAATTTTAATTTTATTTCAATAAATGATANGAAATTTGTCACTTAATCATTTAGATCCCTTGATATTTAAAATATTATATATAAATCCCTTAAAGTTTATATGCGAGTAACACTTATACCTCTGCTATAAATATATCACTTAATAAATTACACTCAGACCTTCTGAAGTTTATAAACATATATTACTTAGACCCCTTAAGTTTAAAATGTTATGTTTATATTGTCTATTAGAATTTAATTTGATCATTTAAATGACCAAATTAAAATACCAAACTATCTCAATTAAAGCTAAAAGATATTGTGTCAATTACAATTTGATCCCTTGTTTAATTTTTTATTTTTATTCTAATAAATAGTATAATTATATACTAACTATGATTTTTTTTAAACAATTAGATTTTTATTTTTGGTTTTATTTGAATAAATGGTATAATAGAACATGAATTTTGAATGTTAAATTCATGTTCTATTATGAATGATTTAGACCCCTTGTTTATTTTTTAGTTTTATTCCAGTAAATAGTATAATTGTATATTAATTATAATTTTTTAAGAAAAAATTAAAATTAAAATTTTAATTTTATTTCAATAAATGATATAATATAATATGAATTTTGCTTGTAAAATTTAAAATATTTGATATTCTATCTTTGATTGGAGTATTTTTTATTTAAATATAATATTTTAAATTTAACAAGTCTAAATATTATATACTTATAAACTTCAGGAGGCTTTAAGTGTAATTTATTAACGAAAATATTTACAATAGAGTTTAAGTGTTACGCGCGTACAAATTTTAGGTAATTTGTGTGTAATATTTTAAATGTCAAAGATTTAAATGATAAATTTCAAAGAGTTTATGTGTAATTCTNCTTTAGGTAGTTTGTGTGTAATATTTTAAATGTCAAAAATTTAAATGATAAATTTCAAAGAATTTATGTGTAATTCTCACATAAATTTTTGTATCAAGCGTTCTTGTCCCCTCCACTAAAAATGAAAGTCCAACTGACGTTTTTAGTGGAGTTATATAACTTTTATCTTGCCACAAAAAATTAGTTGATTTGATGTTTTTACTTAACAACATTCCCTCGACTCATGTCTGTATCGTTTAAAAATTTTCATTTCAAATAACGTTTTTATAATTGTATGAGCTTGAAAATTCTTTTAAAAATAATTATTTTTTGGGTATATTTTGATACAACCCCCGTTGGGGTAAAAACTCAATAATAGGCCCCTCTTTTTTCTTATAGTGGCCTATTATAATATGAATAACTTAAATTAACTGAAAAATATCAAATTACATTTAAATTTAAAATATTTTTTAAAAATAATTACTTAATTTTTTTAATATTTATATAAAAAACATATATATTTCGAATAAAATTATAATCGGATCGGATATAAATATATCAAAATTTAAATCTATGAAATATAAAATAACGGATTCAAATTCAAGTTTGGATTATCGATAAAAAATATTAATTCATATTCAGCTATTCAAATTCAAGTTTAGATCAAAATCTAATTATTTTAAGGTCTACTCAGAACCAGAACTGATAATCAAACATAGTTATTCGAGTTTAGTTCAGATTTTCCTCGTTTTGGACTCGATTCGGCGTCAGTTTATTTTTTAAATTAGTTGGGTTTGAACAATATAATATTTAAGTTAAGTTATTCAAACTCAGCTCGAATTTGGCTCAGTGTATTTAGAACTTGAACAATTTTTAAAACTCGTTTAATAAAATAAATTCGATAATCTCGGCTCGAAATTGTAAAATTTTCACTTTCAAAAAAACAAAAAAAAACTTACAAAATTTTTAAGAGTTGGGCTCGGGTATTATTATAAGGAAGGGGGACAGAGTTCGAAGTTCGAACCTATGGTGAGAAGATCCAACAGCGGGCGGACCTCAAGCGCAAACACGCGCGCCAGTACGCTTGTGAGGTTACTGACAACAGCCATGGCCCTTCAATGGCCCCTTCGTCTCCTTCGTGTACTTCACGTCCTACATGGAATATAGAGACGTGTCCTGTTTTGTGGCCTCACCGACCCGATTTCAGAAAACACCAAAGCCCTAGCTAGAGGCCTAGACACGGAAGACCTTAAAGACAGACCCAATTCTACTTTCGTCTTCTGCTTCGCCATTTTCAGTACCACATAAACCTTGAGAATCAGGTATGATGATTGCTTCATGTAATCTTTCTGTTTTTGTTTTTTTGGTTGAATTTATGCCTTTTTTGTGGTCGTTTTAGGGTTCTGTTTCCAAATCTAGGTTTCGATGTCTTTTTTCTTTGTTTTTATAGGAAGATGTGGTCTACTGAGTCTTGTGTGTCTTGTTTATGTATTAGAGTTGTGTGTGTTTTGATTATCTTTTCTTTCTTTTTAGGAATTTGATTTTGTAACTGGTTGCGATGATAAGAATACTTGCGATCTTTTGCACGGCTAGGGTTTGGAAGTCCTTTTTTTGGGCAAAACTGATTTTACAGATTTTTTTTTTTGGACTGTTAGGTTTCGAAATTGGACAGTTTTCTCCTAAGATTGGATTTTAATTCAGTTGATTCGTGCATTCATGGTGAAAAATGTTTATATTTTGAGTTAGGACACCTGAATCCTGATTATTTGAAGGTTTCATCTGACGATTGCTCAAGAGAGTACAAAGTTTTTCTTTTTTTTGAAGTGTTCTACAGTCTAATGACTCATAAATTTCGTGTAATTTTCTTCTTAGATTCGGTTCAAAAGTCAGAAAATGTTAGTTCAAGTTTGAATTTTTATATCATGATTAATAAATGAAATTACATGAAGTTTAGAGTCGATAGCCGACACAAGATTTTGGGAATTTGATTTATCTATTGCTAGGTTTGAGGGTAGCATTGAGTGTTAGAAGTGAAAAAAACAGATGGGAAATCCATATCTAATGCTAAAATCTGCTTCATTTTCTTGGTTTATTATCGAAACAATAGAAACTATTGGAAAAGAGGAATCTTTAGTTTTTAATCTTGATGATTTGTTATCTTGGCATCTTTTATTGTTGGCATCTCTATAGAGGAAATTTCAAAGAATAGTTATTGCATGAGCACAAAGGAGGTGAGGTGAACCATTCATCTTTGGAACTAATTATGAACGATGTTTGAATAGGTTCTTCGATCTCTCTGTTTTCGCCTGATCAGGGGTTTTAAGGGTGTGATTCCTGTTATAGCATGAGTATGCGGGAGCTAAGGGCAACTCCTATAACGTACACGAGGAACTCACGTCGGAGGAAGGTGGCACTAGATTTGGATCTCAATGTTTTGCCACCGAGTGAGCACCGGGACCAGGAGAGGACTTCGGTTCATGGTGGGCCTCATGATGTGCAAGCTGGTCAACAAGACATTAACTTACTCCCTGCAGCGATTGATCTTGAAGTGCTTGATGATGATGTAATCATATCTTCTCCCAGGGCATTTGCAGAAGTATGTGTTTTATTTCTGGTTTCTAATAAGAAAAAGAATATTTGTTTTATTATTCATTTATATTTCATGAAGTTGGCAAGAAAAATGTATTTGGCTAGGTTGGGTAAAAATAAGATGGTTGTGTTAATTAGCTGACACTCGACATAAATCTTGTCGAATCTCTAATAAACATGAATGCATTTGGTGCACGTGATGTTTGTATTTTTATGGTTGTTCTCTGATTAGTGGTTACTGCTAATTGTAGTAAAATATTTTATTTATGTCAGGCTAAAAACAATTCCAGGAGGAATCATGAAAGGACTGTTGTGGTTGATGTAGATTCTGGTAGTTCAGGTTTTTCTTCACTCTTTCTATTTTGCTTATGATGTAGATTTGTATCCAGTGAAATGTGTGAGCCATTTTTTTTTCACTTTCTGTTTATAGATTTTTTGTTAGCTTTGTGTAATGGCTTTTGGGAGCTGTTGTAAATCGCTTCGTTGTTGTGTTTGCAGATTAGTCCTTTTTATTTATTTATTATGGAGCTCGCAAAAATATCAAGTTTTAAATCATATTTATGCTGTCAAAGCTTCTGGGCTGTTTGCTGTGGTTGTATATTATGTTCGTTCCTCAAAACATGAAGAAATAGTCATTGGGGTGGTTTCAATTGTGCTCGTTACATAAGCTAATCTATGGATGAAAGAAAGTTGCTGGTAGATTTCCAATCCAAGGGTGTAAACATTTACAGTTTTTGAGCTTTGCACCTAATTTTCTTATTGGTTGGTGAGATAAATCTCTTGGGGTGGGGAATGAGTTAGTAAATCGGCATCACTTGGTCAATTGTGTAGAGTAAATAGACTACCCATCAGGGGAGGAGTTTTATCTAGAGGAAATGTAATTCCAATTTAGATTCTTACGTCTTACATTGATGAATGATGTAGAATTATACACCAAGTTCTAATTTTGCCACCACGTGGAGGAAGCTTGGATAAGAATGTGAGGCATTTGTTCATTTTGGAAATCCATACCTAATATTCAACTTTTAAGCATTCAATTCATGGTTCAAAGTAGCGGTCGATACCGATACGAGTCGGCGAAGTCGTATCTGACTCAACAATTGCCGAAACGATACCGTTAGACAATACATATAACCCCTGAGTCTCGAACAACTCGGCCGATTCGTTGGAGTTGTATCTGTGCCAATCGTGAGTCACCGAGTTATCATCACTGAATTGGCCGATACGGTTCTGAGATATTGCGGTATGACCTGAATCTTTTGTTGTGTTCAACATTTTTTTTTTTAGGCCGTATTGTTCGATACGGTGTGGCGACATTGCAACCGATGTGTCCCAGAGTTGTCCGAGTCGATGATTGATACCACGACCTTGAATCATGATTCAATTATTATTCATATGCTTGTGGAGGGGCGAAGCTACTTTGAATGGTGTGGGGACACATGCCCCCACTGACTTTCAACTAACCGTTGCACAATGGTGTTAAGAAAATCACAAGTTTGTTGATTCTAATACAGTGCCCCCATTAACTTTGTTTAAATTGGTATAGGTACCTTAGTTGTCATTCAAACCAAACCAAACAAATGTTTGTTTTTGGACTGAAGATAATGAATGTAGTATGTCCTATTTTTATATTGACGGATGAAAAGAAAACAGTTGTACTGTTAACCTTGACTCTTTACTGGTAAGTTAATGTCCCATAACCCAGTAAAATACAATTGGATGCAAACTGGAAAGTATATTAATTATTAACCAAAAATAATTTTTTGCTCGTCAAAAGAATCAATTTCTCAACAAGATGAGTGATGATATCAATTAATTGTTGCAATAAAATGATTGATTTTGTCAAAGACTCTTTGATTGTGGGTATTGAAAATAAATTACTGAGAAATTTAGTATAGAATTAATTAAATGTAAGCAATTTTGGGATTTGCAAGAATATTATGTCTCACTATAATACATAATTGAATTGAATGAACAAAGTATGAATTATCTTGTGCCTTTTTTTATTCATCTTTTGTTAAGGGTGATTGATACTGATTTTATGCTTTATTTAGTGACTTAGTCTTAAATTTTTGTCTATCTCTTATGCTTGAACTTTAAAAAAATTATTACATCGATGAATTTTTAATGTGTTGAGATAGAATCCTTGCTCCGCCCTTGTGCGCATGCTGGGGGATTAAAAAGAAAAAAAATTACTTTTAGTTTTGTTGGTCCTCCAAATTTTTTGTTTGGGTACAATTACAGTTTTCCTGACCTACCTTAATTAAACTCATAATTTCTTGTTACAGAATTACTTGCTGAAGAGGTGCTTCTTTCTTTAGGCCAACGCGTACTGCAATCAGGCAACTCTTGATACCTTCTGTTTTAGATCTTATTGGTTGCAAATAAGTTAGCAGCTGTGGATGTTTACTTTTTCTTGGTTTTTGCAATTTCTCTTATGAGATAGAATGGTCCTTTTTATTAATTTCATGCAGTTTTCTTGGCTGACTTTATGTAGTATCTTACTTAAGTTTATTGGTGGTTTTCTTTCTTCTTATTTCCCGTATTTGTGGGGGTTGAATTCCGATTTATATCATTATCATTGCAGAAGAATGGTCATCTAGGTTGACACTTAATAACCGCCACAAGCGTAGAAGAGGTTCTGCGAACCAGACAATTATAAATTGTGACCACTACATAAACTTGGAAGGAAGTAGCAACTATATGGTAACATCTACATTTCTTTACGCATTATAATTTTTCAGTCTCCATTGATGTTTATGTGGTGAATTGATCTGTTAAGTTGTTGACATTATATTAACTGATGTTTCCCCATTTTCTATTCCTTCATGGCTAAAAATAATAGCATTTGAAATTTTGCTGTTTTTTTTTGTACTTGGTCAACTGGTCGTTTTGCCTTGTTTGTATTGACTATGTATGCAGCCAATTTGCGGATGATTTTCTGAGTTATTCTGCTTGTGTAAATGCTATTTACCCTACAAAAATGAAGGTGAAAACTCTTAGCGGCCATCATACAGCTAGTTTGGAACCTCCAACGGGGGACTAGCTTCCACATTTATGGTGAACTGGAGTGGTTTTTTATTCATATATGTTTGACATTCTATCCGTTTCTTGTTGTTTGATAACTGACAACCTGGAATGTTTTGGTTAATGGCCTAGCATATCTAGTTGCAGATATGAGTTGAACTACTATACGATGTCTTACTGAAATCCTGAATGTATCCATATTCACAGCTTCTATTTAAATTTATGCAATCTGTTGTTTATCCAATTATCAAATCCATAATTGAATGAGTCTGTCATGGGTTTTTTGTGATCTTTATACGGAATGATACTGATGTAAATTGTGAAGTGCCAGTGTTAGATGTGGCCCAACAGTTCTGTCATTGGTTGTGGTGCCTAGTGCCTACCATCCGGCAGACTCTTTAAACCAAGTATAAACTAAATTCCTTCATCTATTTTTTTATTGTCTGCTGTCTTATTTCCCTAAAAGTGAATTACCCACGTGGGGCACTTCAGTTTTGCCTTTAGGGTATAGGATACGAAAATTGGATGTTTGATGACAAAAACATGTCTTTGTTTCCTGGGCTTTATGTCATATGACTTAAGCAGTTGATCGAGTTATGTTTGGGATAATTATGCACCCCCTCAATCTTGCCACACTTCTCAAGCAATTGTTGATGCTTGTGGATTGGAGTACAACATCTGCATTCATCTCTATAAGATTCTTACCTTATTAATGATCTTTTTCATAGTCTTATACATCGCCAACATTTTATGGATCGGGACTGGTTTTTTTCGTAGCATGTATAAGTTCTGTATATTTGAAGTCCTTTGGAATAAGATTTTGCAAAACATTGCATTTAAGCTTTCTTGTAGAAGAGGAATCCATTAATTATTGTTGTAGCTGATATGTGACGAAATGACTTGCTTCACCTGCAGTGGTATCTGTGTTCCCTTCTGTTCCAGTGATCAGATTGATTTCATTTTTCCCTGTCTTGAGTTTTTTTATTGAACTTTACTGAGTTTTAAGATTTATTCATGATCAAATATGCAGAAAGAGAATGCGAGGAATGTGGCTTCACCTCCACCACCACCGCCAAAAGAGCCTACCTTTAACTGTCCTGTTTGCATGGGTCCATTAGTTGAGGAAATGTCAACAAAATGTGGTCATATTTTTTGTAAGGTGTGCATTAAGGCTTCAATAGCTTCTCAGAGAAAATGCCCCACATGTCGGAGGAAAGTCACCATGAAAGATACAATTAGGGTCTACCTGCCTGCTGCCAGTTGAGTGCAAGGTGTGTATACAACTTTGTAATTTTTTGCTTTATGATTGAAGGAAGACGTGAATCTGACTGATTAGTCAAACTGATGATTGATATGCTGTTATGATAGTACAAATCTGATTCAAAATACTGGCTTGTCTGGTGATATTAAGGATTTTTGCATTGGGTCTGAGTCTTTGAGTTATCATTACTCCAGTGAAGAAATCATGCCTATTTACTTCTCAGAAGAAAAGACGAACCATGTGCGTGTTAGATAGTGGCCCATTCACAGATTTATGTATTTGATATCAACATATACTGCCTTTAAGTTTTGTTTCCACTGCCTTTCTCAATCTTTCGTGATACGTAAGAACATTCAAGCTTCAAATGGTTTAAAATTTTTGATTAATGTGTGGAAGCTGATGAATTTCTATTCCTTAACAATCTTTTGGAAGGAATCTTTTTGTGTATGCATATTTTCTTTTCTTTTTGTTTTTTATCAGATTGAAAAATTAATTACATGTTACCACAGGACTCAGATAGGATTGTGCGTGCCGGGCTTTTCGGGTGTCATGTTTTGGCCAGAGTTTACCGTACCTCCAGGCCCAATGTTAGGCGGCTGTAATATTTGGTTACATTCTAGGTACCCCTTTGTGTATGCGTTTACTGTCCATGTCTATGTGACTTGGGCAAAAACTAAGTAATGCACCCCTCACTGGACACTAATACATTCCTTATATTTTTTTGCCAGATTATGGGACAATTTAACCTTTTGCTATCAATATTCGTATATCATATGCCATTTTTCTTGTAAATATATGAACTTGTATCCTTGGTGAGCTACTAATTAAATACGAGTTTTATTTTATCATTTGGTTTGAACTACTGATGGAATATATATCTGACAGGTGTTTGGCNTGGATTGGAGTACAACATCTGCATTCATCTCTATAAGATTCTTACCTTATTAATGATCTTTTTCATAGTCTTATACATCGCCAACATTTTATGGATCGGGACTGGTTTTTTTCGTAGCATGTATAAGTTCTGTATATTTGAAGTCCTTTGGAATAAGATTTTGCAAAACATTGCATTTAAGCTTTCTTGTAGAAGAGGAATCCATTTATTATTGTTGTAGCTGATATGTGACGAAATGACTTGCTTCACCTGCAGTGGTATCTGTGTTCCCTTCTGTTCCAGTGATCAGATTGATTTCATTTTTCCCTGTCTTGAGTTTTTTTATTGAACTTTACTGAGTTTAAGATTTATTCATGATCATATATGCAGAAAGAGAATGCGAGGAATGTGGCTCCACCTCCACCACCACCGCCAAAAGAGCCTACCTTTAACTGTCCTGTTTGCATGGGTCCATTAGTTGAGGAAATGTCAACAAAATGTGGTCATATTTTTTGTAAGGTGTGCATTAAGGCTTCAATAGCTTCTCAGAGAAAATGCCCCACATGTCGGAGGAAAGTCACCATGAAAGATACAATTAGGGTCTACCTGCCTGCTGCCAGTTGAGTGCAAGGTGTGTATACAACTTTGTAATTTTTTGCTTTATGATTGAAGGAAGACGTGAATCTGACTGATTAGTCAAACTGATGATTGATATGCTGTTATGATAGTACAAATCTGATTCAAAATACTGGCTTGTCTGGTGATATTAAGGATTTTTGCATTGGGTCTGAGTCTTTGAGTTATCATTACTCCAGTGAAGAAATCATGCCTATTTACTTCTCAGAAGAAAAGACGAACCATGTGCGTGTTAGATAGTGGCCCATTCACAGATTTATGTATTTGATATCAACATATACTGCCTTTAAGTTTTGTTTCCACTGCCTTTCTCAATCTTTCGTGATACGTAAGAACATTCAAGCTTCAAATGGTTTAAAATTTTTGATTAATGTGTGGAAGCTGATGAATTTCTATTCCTTAACAATCTTTTGGAAGGAATCTTTTTGTGTATGCATATTTTCTTTTCTTTTTGTTTTTTATCAGATTGAAAAATTAATTACATGTTACCACAGGACTCAGATAGGATTGTGCGTGCCGGGCTTTTCGGGTGTCATGTTTTGGCCAGAGTTTACCGTACCTCCAGCCCCAATGTTAGGCGGCTGTAATATTTGGTTACATTCTAGGTACCCCTTTGTGTATGCGTTTACTGTCCATGTCTATGTGACTTGGGCAAAAACTAAGTAATGCACCCCTCACTGGACACTAATACATTCCTTATATTTTTTTGCCAGATTATGGGACAATTTAACCTTTTGCTATCAATATTCGTATATCATATGCCATTTTTCTTGTAAATATATGAACTTGTATCCTTGGTGAGCTACTAATTAAATACGAGTTTTATTTTATCATTTGGTTTGAACTACTGATGGAATATATATCTGACAGGTGTTTGGCTTGGACTTCTCTGGCTTGAAGTAGGAGTGTTCATAGAGGCTGCTTTGGTGAGTTGACCATCGGTGTGTCATTTTTTAAACTTATTACTCAGGAACTCATAGTTTTAACGGTTAGAAAATGAAGTCCTTGGGCGTATAGAGTTGGAGTCGTAGAAACAGCTTCTTTGCAATACTAGGGTAAGACTGAGTTCATTTGACCCTCTTTCCATCTTGCTTGGGCTGCTCTTTTTGAAGAAAGCGAAGTGCCTATAGTCATTTAGGGTTTTGGTCTGAAAAATCAGTCAGGGGTTGAAGTAATCTGTGTTTTGGATATCTAAGCACCTCGAAGAAGAAAACTTGTGAAGCCCTCCCCTACTTTAAAGCTGCCTCTTCACTTCCTTTTACTTATTTTACTTGATGTATATGTCTTCTAATATACTAGCAATAATTCCGTACAGGAAGATACATTGTAATACGAAAAATTATTATTGATTGTGCAACATTTATATTTTAAGTAGTAATTTATCATTATTTTTAAATACGTAATTTAAAATAAAAGTGAACATATAGAAAATAAGAGAGAAAAGAAAGGTAGGTGTGAATTAGTAAGGTCGTCGGACATTGCAGTGTATTGGTTGAGTTGATAATTTGAACCGGAAATTTTTTTAGATAAAAATTAGATCGATGTTATAACTTTCTAGCTATAATATTAGATAGATTATATAAATATATTCAAATCATATAAACTTTTTTAAAAAGAAATTGTCTTCTAATAAAAGATCATCCCAAGTATATTTAAACTGTTCCAGTTAATTATTCTCAAGTTATTTCCTATTGGTGCTATCTAAATCCTTCCATATCATAATTCATTGGTGACCATCTCTGTACGGATCATCAATGTCCATTTAGTAGGATTATTAGTCCTTTTTTTTTTTTTT